TGTTAGTTTTGTCAGTAAGTTGACACTATGGGGATATGAGGTGGAATGTCCTGGGTTGATTGTGGTGTTAAATTGTATCCCCATTCTTCCACCAAGCCCAGACACAGGTTTTGTAATCTTAAAATTTCATCTAAGAGTAAAAGTGAGTGGAAAAGAAGCACCGAGTCTGTTATCAGAGACTGTACTTGCTCGCCCTGCATTGGGAGTTTTGACAACAGCACAGACAGACAACAAAAGACAGATCACCTTGGCTTTCCAGATCCTTGGAAGGACGCGATGCACAGACACACACCACTGGAGCCGGGCTCTGAAGTAGGAATACAGCAGCTAGTTCATCTATTTCTGGAACAATCCATGGGGGACATGAGGTGTAAACTCCAAAAGCTTTGGGGGCAGATTGGTGAAACTTAGAAGCCTTCTTGGAAGAGGCATGGAGAGTTTTCAGCAATAGAGAAGAGGGATATAAGCAAGAAATGAAGAAGCTAGTAGCAGTGGTACAGGAGGAAGGAAAAGGGAAAGGAAAGCACAGACAAGGACCACCCAAACGAGGCCCGTCTCAACTGGGTAGAGACCAATGTGTGTACTGTGGAGAATTTGGTCACTGGAAAAATGAGTGTCCAAAGTGGAAGTGAGATGGCCAAAAGAAAGAAGGGAAAGGAGGGGTGGTTGCAGTCACACATCCACAAGAAGACTGAAGGGGACTCAGGGAGTCCACCCCAGCAGACCCCCTGGTTATAACAATGAAACTGTGAAAAAAATGAAAATAAGAAGAATTTTTGGTTGATACTTGAGGAAATTACTTGGTGTTAAATAAGGCCTTGATAGCTGTGAGTTATGAGAATTATGTTATGATCAAAGGGTGGGGTAGTTTAGCATTTAGGGAAAGAAGTGGGAAACACCCACAGCAGTGATTCCTCTGAGAGAGGCTGTGGGGAGTTCCTTCTGTGCTTGAGATCAAGGCAATAGCTGGCCAGTTCTGACAACTGACAGCATTCTGCACCACTGAAAAGGAACTTCACCTTTGTGAATGCCACCTTTTAAACACCCAAGGCCAGGAACTGGTCTCTTTCTTTGCAGCCTTGAAAGGCAGCAGAGCTGTGGTGTGGCTGGCCCCGCTCCCCCGTGGCCTGTGCGGCCTGGGGGGGCCTGGGCCGGAGCCCAGCTGCTCCCGGGGGGAGATGGAGACTGCGGGATCCCCCCCAGGCCAGGCCAGGCTCTGCTGCGCTGCTGGCTTTCCCGGGAAGCCCTCCGGGTCCCGTTCCAGCGGGGTGGCCAAAGCCCTTCCCAGGGGAGCCCCCGGCCCCCAGGCTGGGCCAGGCCACGGCTGATGACACTCGCCAACACCCCCCCTGCCCCCCGGCCCGCACAGACAGCTCCTGAGAGCTGGCACCAGCCACACCTGAAATCCCACACCACCACTGCCTGCCATGGCTTGGGACACATTTAACCCTTGCACTACACACAGGAGACCTGCAGACTTTAATCCTCTCTCCAGGAAAAGAAAAGAACCAAGTGACACGTAAAAAGACAACGTGAAACATCAAGGTCAGTAAAAGAAGGAATCAAGCCTCAGGTGGAAGGAGAATGAGGAGATGCTCTAATAAGCTGAAATATTCTTTTGTTAGGGCCATGGAGATGATTAATAATGTCCTGAAAAATAACTCCTTTAATTCATGAAAGAGTATTGGGGGATTGAAGTATTCAAGGTGTAGATCTGGGCAAAGGTATCCATTGATGAAGCCAAGCAGATGGTGGAGTAGCTGTGATCCCATGAGAGCTTGAACAGAGAGAGAGGGAGATGAGAGCTGATGAAGACCCTTTGTCCCCAGGGAGAGAAGAAGAAAACCTCCATCCACAGAGATGAAGAGAACTTTTGCCTTTGAATAACTCATCCTTAAAATAATACCCCTTAGCTCATGGCCCATGAACACACCTCTGAGTGGTGTGAAAATGGGAGGAGAGGGCAGAGTTTGTGCCCGGGTGACTGCCATTTGTACAAATGAAAACCCCCAAGGAAACTGTTTCTTTTGGAGAACTCTCCATGGCATGACAAGAGAAAACTCCTCTCCCTGCACAGGCTGATGAAAAGACTATTGTATAGTTGGCACTGCTTTAACATCCCAGGTTTTGTCTCTGCCGTATCACTTGGGAAAGGAAAAGTTGGGTAGGGGGAGGAAATGTTTCTAGAGGTTTTATTCTTGCTTCTTATTCTTGTAGTCCTGATCATAAAGGTTCTTTATTCTTATTCAGTGTTAAGACTCTTTTGCCCTTCTCCTAATCCATATCTCACAGAAAGAAAGAAGGAAGTACTCTGGTGATTTTAGCTAGAGCTAAAAACCACCACACTCAGCCACTCCTGACAGGACTTGTGCTCCAGACCCCTCAGCAGCCTTGTTGCCCTTCTCTGGACACGCTCCAGCCCCTCCATGGCCTTCCTCAATTGGGGGCCCAGGACTGGACACAGCACTCGAGGTGTGGCCTCAGCAGTGCCCAGCACAGGGGAAGAATCCCTGCCCTGCTCCTGCTGGCCACACCATTCCTGATGCAGGCCAGGGGCCATTGGCCTTCTTGGCCACCTGGGCACACTGCTGCCTCATGTCCAGCCTGCTGTCCATCAGTGGCCCAGCTCCCTTTCTGCCTGGCCGCTGTCCAGCCACTCTGTCCCCAGCCTGGAGCACTGCAGGCCTTGTTGTGGCCAAAGTGCAGGAGCCGGCACTTGGTCTTGTTCAACCTCACCTTGTTGGCTTTGGGCCCTGCATCCAGCCTGTCCAGCTCCCTGTGCAGAGCCCTCCTGCCCTCCAGCACATCCACACTCCCAGCCAGCTTGGTGTCAGAATGGTTCCATGAGGCCCTGCAGTGTCACAATGGTCTCCACGGTTCCATGACACTCCGTGGAGTCACAGTGGATCCTTGGTTCTTTGGGCCCTGCAGTGTCACAGTGGATCCTTGGTGCTTTGGGCCCCAATTGGATGATGATTTTGTGAACCCTGCCTTTTACCCTCCCCAGGATATCTCTGATTAGCTGATGCTTTGGACCCTCCCTTTGAACCACCTCCCTATTTCAGCAGTTGCACACTCACATTTTCTGTCTTTTGTCCCCAAGATTCCCCAGAGCAATAAATCCTCTGTTATCCCATGCAAAAGACTTCCCTCTCATCCTTGTCTCCTCAGAGCACAGAGTGACAGCCAAAAGCCGTAGAGTGAGTACTCTAGTCACACCTGGGCTCATCCTGCTCCTGGGGTGTGACCCACTCCTGTGCAGGCCCAAGTGACAGAGCCAGATCAGCTCCAGCCTAACGCGATATATTATCCTTCACAGAAGCACCAAAGCTAAGCTCTAATTGAGCTTTAACTTCTTTACTTTTCTTTCTGCAGGACCTAACGACATCCTTAATCATTTCCTGAGTTGCTTGTCCCTCTGTCCAAAGGTGATGCACCCTCATCTTTTTCCTGATTTCCAGCAAAAGCTCTCTGCCCAGTCAGGCCAGGCATTTTCCTCACTAGCTTACTCTGATGTTGGAGTCTGGGATACAGAGTGTGTGCCCTTGTTTCTAATACTTAGTTCTAGGATTCAAAGAAACACTGAATTTCATATGACATGAAATTCATGAGCATGTTTTCATGGTGATACATGAAAACAAATGTAAAAGTTAGATAGGAAAAGTGTAAGTGTGTAGATTAGAAAGTTTCTTAAATCACTGGGTGAAAAAGCAGTTTAGAGAAAAGGAGACAAGATGGAGGATTTAGGGTGTTGTCTCTTGTCCTTCTTCTTTCTTCTTCATGTTCTTCTTCTAGGGGTTTTTGGGGAGTAGTAAGTGATTGGGTCAAAAATGCCGCAGTGCAGCGCACAGGTGTTGGGTCATTGGGTCACTAAGAAAAATAATTGAGTTGGCATCTGTTAATTGGGTAAATGGACATATAAAAGACCTTGAAGAGGATCTTTGTTAGCCATTTTACCCTTTTCTGTCATAGTGCACATAGCTCCTTGTACCTTGTAATGCTGCTAAGAAAAGAATAAACAACTGAGACCAAACAAGAGAAAACTGCCTCCCTCTCATCAATCTTCAGTTCAAAGGGAAAAAGAACCTAATCCAAAAGTCCCTAACGAGACAGATAAGAAGCAGCTATCAGTGAGAGACAACAGAAACAATGGGATGGATTCCACTAAAAGATCAAAGAGGCACTGAAAGAACACTATGAATTCCATGAAAGTAAAGAATTAAGAAGGGATTATGCATTGAGGGGGTAACCCAGGTATCAGGTGTTCCGGTACTGTCAAGTACCTCAGCCTATGGGGAAAGAGAGAAGGGACAAGCGGCCGGGAATTAGGATAAATAGGAGGCTGCGCCCTCCAAAAATTTGAGAGACCCCAGGGGAATGCCCCATGGCCTCTCCCTTTATTCGAATAAAATAAAAAGGACTCCTATGTCTCCTTCTTGGATATAAACCTCTGGTGTTTGTGGATTAATTTTCCTGACACCTGTTTTGGTAGGTGAGTGCAGTAGACAGAAGGTGGCACAGGTTTAGTAGATGGCACCTGCCCCCAGGGCCAGGGCAGGCAACTGGGTTCTTTCCTGTGACTAGAATAGTTACTGCACTTTCCATCTCCATGAGTTGTTTTTAAGGCAGAGGAAGATATTCTGGGGAAGTGAACGGAACCCAGCACCATGGGAGTGACTCCAGCATCTCAACATTTCCCTTGAGCTCCATGTGCATGACTTAGGTAGCTGTGGAGCCAGCTGGTCAAAGGCCCAGCCCTGCCTCCCATTTGAGGGGAAGAAAGAGGAAGAGTTCATCAGGGCTCAATCGGAAAGGAAGTTTTGGTGCTTCCAGAAGCACAGCTTTGGTAGCAGAGGAACATCTCGGCTCCTGCCACCCGCTGGCCCTTGGAATGCACACACAGCCCTAGTTTCATTTCAGGAGACACCAAGAAGCTGGACAGTTTGAAAGGGCAGCTGTTGTTTCACTGTTGCACTTCTTGGCTTGTTAAACACCCTCCTAGCTGTACTACAGCCTGTGCTTGAAGACGCAAAAGTACCATCCTGGAGGAAAGGCATCCAAAGCTTGACAAAGGCTGAAGGGAGTGCCTTTGATCACCCCTTTTCCCAAGAGGTCTCTTTAGCTGAAGTTGCTAACAAGAACCAGACTTGACAGCCTAGAATATGCTTATGGTTTATGGTTTTATTTTTTGGGTCCTCAGTCCTGCATGGGATTCAGGAAGTGGGTGCTGCAGAGGCTCCAGCAAGGCATCAGAAACGCCGGCCCCGCACCCAAGGGTGGCGCAAGATCTCCTCCAGCTCTGGCCTGTCCGCGGGGTGCTTGGACAAACAGCAGCGGATCAGATGTTGGCACTCTGGGGAGAGAAGGCAGAGAGTGCTGGTCATTTTCAGAAGGCTCCTGCTCAGCTGCTGACGGCGCCCACAGGGCCCGGGCCGCGCTGCGTGTGCTCAGAGCTGCGCCAGCCTCCCAAGGGACTCTGCCCTGTGTGGGAGAGTGGCACGCTGGGACACATACACCTCCTTCAGTTGCACGGGCCACCTCCTGCGGCCAGCTCTTGAGGGCAGATCCATGTCCTGTGGAGCTGGGTGAGGGCCATGCTGGGCTGCATGCTGCCATCTGCAAGAGTCTGCCTACTTGAGGCCAGATACCAACCTGGAGAGATCTGCTGCCTGAAGAAGGGCTGCCCCAACCTGATGTCACGGTCCTCCTGGAAGGGGAGGTTACCACACACCATGACATAAAGCAGCATGCCCAGGGACCAGATGGTCGCTGAATGGCCATGGTAGACGCCAAGGCAGATCCACTCGGGTGGGCTGTACGCGTGTGTTCCTAGGGGAGATGGCTGGCGCTGTCCAGACGCAGGCTGCTGGCTTTCAGCGCCTGGTGCCCGCCTCCTGGCAGAGGCAGGAGCTGCAGCGGTGGACACAACTTCTCCCCGAGGCCACCCCACATCCCCCAGGCAACTGGCCAAAGCCAATAAACCATTCTGCAAGGCAAAGAAGGCCAGCAGAGCAGCCCAAGCCCTTGTGGGCCTGCTAAGCTGAGGGGCCAGGAGCTGGCTTTTGCAGCCGCCCCTGTGGGCAGGGCCAGCAGCCAGCTCCTGGGGCACAGCATCTGCTGCCAAAGGGCAGCCAGCAGCCAGCTGAAGGATGCAGCCTGCAGCCCAGGAGGGAATGGGGCCGTGCAGTGCCTGGCACTGGGAGCAGGGCCCGGGTTGTGGGCTCACCGGCAAATTGCGTGAAGACCTGCTCCTGGAGAAAGGTGCCGCAACCGAAGTCAATGAGCTTCAGCTCGCCGCTCTCCAGGTCCACCAGGAGGTTCTCCGGCTTGATGTCTCGGTGCAGGACGCCACAGGCAGTGCAGTGCCGCATGGCCCCCAGCACCTGGCAGAAAAGCCAGCGTGCCATCTCCTCACACAGGAAGCCCTGCTCCAGCAGGAAGTGCAGGAGATCCTGTGATGGCTGCGGACGCTCCATCACCAGCAGGAAGCTGTCAGGCAGCTCAAACCAGTCGAGGAGCTGGACGATGTTGTGGCAGCCAGAGCCCACCTTCTCCATGAGCACGATCTCCACGGGAACACGGGTGCCGTCGGGCTGTGAGGAAGAGACAATGCCTCCAGCAAGCCGGATTCTGCCAAGCTGTGGCTGTGCTGCCTCCTGCCTGGGATGCCCCAGTGCCCTCTTGGGCAGACTCCCTGCTGCTTGGCATTCCTCCTGCCCAGGGGTTGCTTGGAGGTGCCCCCTGCCCGGCCCTACTGTCCATGTTTGGCATCTCTGGGCCCACAATGCCCCAATGGCTTGCACGCTGAGCCCATGCCCGCTCCCCCAGCCATCTACCGCCTCCCACTCCCGGGAGCCCGGGCTTATCCCTGCCAGCCGTGCCCCATTCTGTCCTGCTGGCCCCGCTCACACACCAGCTCGTCCCACTGCAGGACGCTGTCCCGAGCCACGCGTTTAATAGCCACCTGCAAGCCATTGAGAGAGAGAGAGAGGCTTAGCTCAAGTCCTGCCCCTCCCCATCCCTCACCCTCCTCGCACGCCCGGCCATCACGGCCACTCACAGGGCTCCCATCTGAGAGGCGGATGCCTGAGAAAACGGTGCCGAAGCCACCGCTCCCCAGCTGCAGACCCAGCTGGTACAGCTCCTGCAGCTTCTTCTTTTGCTCTGCGACCAAGACCGAGCCATCACCCTCATGCCCAGGAACCTCCCCAAATACCCGCGAGTGCAGCGGGCCGGGCCAGTCTGGGTCATGTTGTTCTGACCTGCTTCCTGCTGCCTGCCGAGCAGTGGCCACTGCCTTGCAGCCGTCGGGCTGTTGAGCAGCAGAGCTGGGACAGCAGAGCACGCAGAGGCTGCAGGAGCCGGAGTGCAGTGTGTCTGGATGGCACCGTCACTGTCACTGTCCCCGGCGTTGTGGGCTGGACTCTGCTGTTGAGAACGGCCGGGGCTACAGCCCAAGGCTTTGCACAGGGGGGTCCCAGGAGCAGCTGCAAAGCAGACAGGTTTTTGAAGCCGTGCCATCAGAGGCACTGGAAACAGCCAGGGACTGGGCTGCTCTCAGGGGCCATGGCCTGGCCTGGGGTGTCCCTCAAGAGCACTGGGCGAGCCTCAGACAGCTCCTCAGGAGATCTCACCTGCTCTTAGAAAGGCCTTTGTGGTAGTCAAGGGCTTTCTTGGGGCAGCTTCCTGGAGATGGAGGAACCTCCTTGGTGTCTTGAGGGTCGTCTCCACCACCAGGCTTGGGCTGTTGGCAGCTGGCACAACTTGCCCAGAGTTCTGGGAGCAGTGGGATGACAACTGCTGCTTCCAGGATGCTTGCTGCTCCGCCAGCTGCTCCTGAGAAGGCTCCCCTGGATTGGGCTGGGCTCCCACTTGGACTTCTGGGCTTTCCCTGGCCATGTCAATGGTCAGGCTTGTACCCTTATTGTTGAAGTCTGGGAGTCCAAGGGAGCTGGGAGAACTGTCCATGGGCTCTGCATCTTCTGCAGGCTGACAGGTCTCCCTGAGCCTCTGCGAGGGATGGAGGCTGTCAGAGATAGCAGAGGCTCCTGGCAGAATGGAGGGTCTCTGACAGCCTGAGGTTCCTGCATGGATGGTGGGTCTCTGCTGGTGTGCCATCCTTGCAGGGGTTGAGGCTTTCCCAGGGGTGGTGGAGAATTTTGCTGGGAGCAGCCTCCTGGGGTGATGGCGGCTTCTGGAGGAACCAGACGAGCCACAGCAGGCCAGGTGGCCTCGGTTCACCAGCTCCTCCAGTTCTTTCCAGAGTGCCTGCCACATCCCAGAGTAGAGCGGCACACATGTCCCATTGCGATCCCAGAGGAGCAGCAACAGTTCCTGCAGCTCCTGGGCCACTGCCATGCAGGAGCCCCAGCTGCAGGAGCTGTCCAGAGGGCTCGCGGGAGCACGTGGCCACTTGCCAGGGGCCGCTAGGGGCCCGGAGTATCTCGGAGCCACAGGGGCTCCTCGGTTCCTCCGTGAGCCTCTAGGCCGGACCCAGCGGCGCTTGCTCTTCTTCGCTTTCCATGTCTGCTGTCTCCATGGTTGCCAGTGGCCAACAGCCCACCAGACAGCCACAGCGGCCAGCAGCAGGACAAGCACAGTCATCAGGACAACACCGTCATCCATGATTCCGGCACGTCCCATCGCGACTGCGCTGGCAGCTGTGGGTGCTGGCCTGTGTTATAGAGTGACAACGCAATGATGTCACAGTGCTGTGGCCAGGACAACTGTGGGACATCACAGCCCTGCCTCATGCCAGCTCTCAGGCCCTTTGTGCAGTCACAGCCCAGCCCGCCTCAGGGATCAGCAGAACTGGCTCATCTCTGAAGATGGACGTGGCCAGAAAAAGCCTGGAAGTAAGAACGGGAGCTCAGTCCGTTGCAAAGAATCATTCCCTGGACCAAATGGTGGCACATCAGGAAGGGTGCTGGTGCCAGCAGTGTCAACCCCACAGCTCCCAAGATGTTGCCACACTACCAGCTGGAAACAAACACTACTCTGTGCCTGAAAAAATCCTCCAGAGACAAAGGGAGTTCCTCTGTCTCTGGGGAGCTCTCCGTTCAGATGGAATGGGCTGTTGAGGGCAAGAAGAGATTTTGTTAGCAGCTCACTGATTTCTGCAGTGCCTCTGTTATAAATAAATCAGGATTTGCCAAGGAGTGCTCATGGTGCTTCCACTGCTCTGGTTTTGACTGGGATAAGGTGTCTTTCTTCCCAATAGCTGTCACATGTTGAGTTTGGATGGGAATGCTGTGGATCAAACAGGGGTGGTTTGCTTTCCACTGAGCAGGACTTACCCTCTTCAAGGACCAGTGTCCCTTGGTACAATGCAATGTTTTCCAGTGGGAAGGGAGGGATGAGTGTTGAAGACAGAGGCACAGAATGCACTAAACCCCTGTACCATGTCTCTATCCCTGTTTGTGAGGTGACCATCCACACCCTAGAAGGGGACAGTAGGGTTATTTCTACAAAGTTTTTTTCCATTAATGTATTTTAAAACACTTTTGATTGTGTCCCACATTTCTGGCCACCTTCATCTCCAGCTGAGCTTTCAGCATACCAAATTTCTCCCTGCAAGAGGCAGGAAACATCTGTGTATTCTTCTCTTGACCTCACTCCCACTGGGCACACAACTTCCTTTTCCATCCTCTTTCCCAGAGAAGCTGCCTGTTCAGGTAAGCCAGCCTTCTGCCTTGCCTGCTTGGGTTCCAACATTTGGGAATCGCCTGCTCCTGTGCCCTTAGGAGGTGATGTTTCCAAAGCGACCAGCAATGATGGAGCCCAGCACCCTCAATAACATTTTTCCCAGGGACCTTGCGTACCAGTTCCCTGAGCAGCCTGAAGTCTGCTCTCCTCATGCCCCGAGCTGAGGTTTTGCTGGCCCTTTCTCTCTTGTCCTATGTTTGAACCTAAATTTATTTGTGGAATTTATTTGTGGTTGCTGTGGCCAAGATGGCCACCAATCCCCACTTGGCTCAGGGCATGTGGGGCTCCGAAGGAGGCCTGGCTCTAGGGGGGCTGAGCTGGAGAATCCTGGGCTGGGGGGGGGGGCTCCCCCCTTACTGGGAGGAGGCTTCCTCGGGAGGAAGAAGGGTCTGGCATGAGCCACGAGGCCCCTGGCCAAGGGATGGCAGCGGGGGATGTGTCTGTAGCAGATGCTGTCTGCAAGGAGCTTTGGGAAAGAGTGGGTGTGTGTAACGTGATGGTCGTGGATGGGGAGACAAAGAATGCACAACTCATGCTCCAGGTGCTCATGAGACAAACAGCCTCATTTATTATTTAGAACTCACTTAAATACTCAGTTCAAATTTCCTGGGCTAGACAGGCATTGGCTGATACTTCTTTCCCTGCCCAGCATCCTGGCCAGTGGTGTGCAGTGGTTCACACATAAATTAGGCTAGCCAGACTAGATTTGTGTTATGTCTAGATTTACTTAGTCCAGTCCAGACCAGCTGCACTGTGACACTACTGCAACAATTCACCCTTTTCAGTTAAATTAAAAAAAATATAAATTGCTCTCTGTTGTCTTATCTGCAAGGGCCCTTTGCAGACATGATAACAGGTACAGCATAGGTTTAATTTTAAGTTTTTGAATCAATTTGACTAACTTAGTTCTCTTCGGCTAGCAACATGCTTTGTGTACTAAATTGAGTTTGCAACACTCACTTCCAGGAACTGGCAGGTGAGATCACAATCCTTCAAGCTAACATGCCATGGGTTAACTACTTACTAGTACAAGTTACAACTTAACATTAGAAACAAGAAACTGCTTAGAACTGACATTATTCTTGAACTCTAGAAACAAGAAACAAAAATATTCAACATTTAGAACCGTGAGAAAAACTCAGCAGAAAAACAATTTGTAAACAAAGAGTTTTTAAATGAACTGCCCTTTTCAACAGTCTCTGATTTCCACGAGGTAGATGAACAAGTTGTTCTGGTCACTCCTTATGGACGCTAGCTTTGGAGCAGGCTGCAGGCCCATGGCCTCTCAGTCCTGCCTGAGAAGCTAGCCACGTACCAGTCTATAAAACAGGCCTGAAGTAATAAACCAGAGAATTCTCGTGCTGTGACTCCCTTGAGAGTCCATGTCGTTCTTTATCGCCATTCCCAATCAGAACGACATCTGGTGACCCCGCGTGATGTTGAACCGACCCCTGAGGTCCGGTAACCCGACGTGAAGTGCAGCCGACCCCCGAGGTCAGAAAGCAACCGACGTGACGACACCTGCTAATCCCCTGAGGGTAAGCAGCGAGCGGGGAAAAAAGCCAGCCCTTCCCCCTGGAGGGGTAAGTGGAATTCTCCCGGGCTTTCCTAGAGGAAGCTGGTTCTGGAAACCAACGGGATAGTGGAGCCTGCCGGTGAGTGGGCTTGGAACGGCTGTCTTGGTGAAGTAGAGCTCGAAGTCCCGGGTCAGAGCCGATAGCGTCTGCATTACTGCATTCGCAGAGCCGCCAAGATAAAGTTTTCATAATGGAGAGCTGTAATTTAGCTAACGAGCAGCTGGTCTGCCTTGCATGGCAAAATGCCTTGCTGAGCATGAGACTCTGTATTCCTGAATTGCTGAGCATGAGACTCTGTATTCCTGAAGAAGATATATGCGCTTTGTTCCACTGGGTGAAAGCGCAGGAGTTTGCTATAACTGTGAATGATGTGTTTGACCTTGAGATTTGGTGGTCAGTAGGGGACCACCTGTGAACTGAGCTTGTTGCGAGAAATACCAGTGCGTGCGACTTAGCAGCAACTTAGGGAGTGATCTTTAGGGCACTGGAACAGTGCCAGCCTAAAAACAGTGAACCTGGGATGAGAAACTTTGATGCCGAAAGTTCCTCCGTTGTACAAGATGAGGGACTGGGAGATGAAACCGTGGATGAGCTGTGTAGTGCTCTTTCAGCTCTGCCCGGACCGTCAGAGGACTTTAGCAGCGAGCAAGAGCAATCCGCGAGCCAGAGATCTCCCTCTCCAGAAAAGTTTGAGCGCCCGCCATCTGCAGAGCTCGGTGTGTGGGCTTTGCCAGCAGAAAAACCTCTCTACAGCCCCCCCCGCGCCCGGCGCGCGGGGCGCCACCGAGGGGTCCGAGTGCGGGTCAGGAACACCAC